GGAAAAGAGTAGCGAAGAAGCAGTAATTAGGCAGTTACTATAAGCAGGATGTGATGGGAAAAGAAATTTCAGTGCTACTTCATTCTCTTGCTTTGTCACCTCTACTGATTAGACATCTATGTACGTCTACATTATCTGTTGATCTAGACTGTAAATTCTTTGAGGTAAGAACTTTGCCTTTTTGTTTGCAAAATGTCCATCATTCTTTGAATTATGTGTATCTCAACTCTCGTGTGTTACTGGATAAACAGGCACAAGATGTGTCACATGAATCATTCAGGAAAGGGAGAAGGGTGTCAAGCAGACTCTACAACCCAAGTCCTTAGTGCCTGCAGCATGTGATGGAGATAAGATGTTCAGACCTGTATGGATCAGACGCTGAGGGAGTGTGAGATGCAGGATTTCCCAGTAGATTCAGTGCTCTTCGCTAACATAAATGAATGTTCAGGAAAGGAAATCTTGAATGCTATTCCATGTTTTGAAGGAGAGTGTTTATCTTGTCCTCCATAGCCTTTCCGTTTCTGTGCACATATTCCTCCTTTCCAGTAGGAGTTAAGTCTGTCCCTTCCCAGGGACAGACTCTTGTTCTCTCTCCTCACCACTTCTTTGTATTCAAGCCAGTCTATTTTTAATTTCTGCTTCATCCATGTTTCAGTGGTAAACATTTACAATACCAGAGACATTTCAGTATTAGGGCCCAGAATCACAGCATTCTGTATTTTGAGGTGGGCATCCACAAGGATTTGTTGCTTTGCCCTGCAACTCCAGCATGAAGAAGACATGGCAGAAATGGCAAGTTCACAGATGTTAGTTGCCATCCTTTAATCAGCCCCTGCCAGAGTGCAAAGAATTGTTTCTCAGAGCCATATTATCTGCACCTTTGTGAGGACATGTCGTGGTTTAACCTCAGTCAGCAACTGAGCACCACACAGCTGCTCGCTCACTCTCCCCCACCCCCCCGGTGGGATGGGGGAGAGCATTGGAAGAGCACAAGTGAGAGAAACTCATGGGTTGAGATAAAAACAGTTTAATAATTGAAATAAAATAATAATAATACACAAAGCAAGTGATGCACAGTGCAATTGCTCACCACCCGCCGACCGATGCCCAGCCAGTCCCCGAGCAGTGGCCCGCCCGGCCAGCTTTCCCCCCAGTTTCTATACTGAGCATGACGTCACATGGTATGGAATGTCCCTTTGGCCAGTTTGGGTCAGCTGTCCTGGCTGTGCCCCCTCCCAGCTTCTTGTGCCCCTCCAGCCTTCTCAGTCGGTAGAGCATGGGAAGCTGAAAAGTCCTTGACTAGTGTAAGCGTTACCTAGCAATATCTATAAAATCGGTGCATTATCAACTTTGTTCTCATCCTAAATCCAAAACACAGCACTATAGCAGCTACTAGGAAGGAAATTAACTCTATCCCTGCCAAAACCAGGACAGGACAGTAAGATACTTCTGTGAACTCTGCACTTCCAAGATACTCACATGAGACTTGGTGAGGGGGATTTCCAGACATGTGCACACAATAACCCATGCACATTAATCTGAGACCTCCCATCCAGAATAAGGCTACCAAAGATCCCAAAATCTCCAGCAAGTGAGGAATTTCCCTGACTCTGTCCCAGTGAAAGATTTCTAAGTAAAATTAATGACAGTTGAAAACTATTGGGAATGGAGGTAGGGTAACTCTGATGGCACATGCAAATGCTATGTGATTTAGACTTTCTGAATAGACTGTCTTTATACACTTGTCCTGGACAGCAGATACCATGAAAAACTTGTAGAGGTTCATCTAGGGCTGAATGAACCAGCACCTGACACTGTCAGCAGTTGTAGTGGTTTGGTACAGAGCACCTCTGCAGTCCTAGAACATCCACAAGCACTAACTTCTCTTAAACAACTGGAAGATGCAAAATCACCGTTTTTGGTTTTGGTTTTTTTTCTTTTTAAGACAGACATAGCCTTTCTGCCAGCTCTTGTCTTCTTCAGAAAAGATTCCTTCTTAGTATGTCTTTAGTAAAGAGGCATCAGTTGTGCATAATAGGTCTCATTATCTTTAAATTAGCCATTAGTATCTTTCAGTGATGAACAGATATAACTACTAAATACAGATAAATGTTACATGGAGAAGTTGAGTATTAGAGTCCATTTCTCAAGGGCAGAATTCTTCCCCCTCTGTGAGTAGTTGCTGCACTGTGCTGGAAAAAATCTGCAAACTACTGGAAATAGTTTCAAGCACTATAAGGATTTACATACAGTATAAAAAAACAATAAACTAAATCTTCCAGAACACTTGTGAAAAAAAATTATACTGTGTCTGTGTTCTTTAGTAGGCTCTGCAGATTTTTTTAAGAGTCATTTAAAAATAAAATCCAAAAGAAAAAATCATATTTTCTCTTGTTTGGAAAGTATTTGCAGTTGTATTTCTTGTGTGTGAGCAAAAGATGGATTTTTCAGGTGAGAAAAAATGTAATTTTTCAGTGAGAATATGGACGAGCAGTTGTGCTTTTTATCCAGAGCTCTATATTGCTGTTTTGCTAGGAAGAAATTCATAATGCTTTTACTGTACTAGTCAATTGTTCTGTAAGTCATCAAAAATAAAAAGAATTTGGAGAAACTTGGAAGAACTGGTACTGTTTAATTGTCTTGTTACAGTATTTATTTTGATAAATACTATCAAGGCATGCCATTTAAAAATAATAGAAAGTAACTATCCTGAGGAACTAAAAAACTGAGGCTATAAAAAAAACAGAACAGGTGAATTAGTCAAAATTTGAAGGCCAAGGGAAGACCTTTGGCAACACGAACAGTTAGCAGTTTTTCCTACTCACTACTTACAAGCCCATATTGCTTCTCTGAAAAACATAACAAAAAAAGGAAAAAAAAAAAAGCCCTAAGAAGAGATTTGAAAACCCCACAAAATAATGGCTATGCAAATTTGGTCATGGATTTTTTTTCCCCAGTTTTAATGGGCAGGGTGAGGAATCACTCAGAAATGTTTGAGAAGCAAGCCAGCAGCTGCAAAAACCCTGAGCTTTAAAAGCATCTTTCCTAAAGTCTTCAAATCCAGAGCGCTCGGTAGAAGTCCATCTATACCTGAAATGTAATAAGTGCCTTGTTCTTTCATTTTTGCTGTCCTTTTGAGGATTCATGCAAATGTCTGTGAAAGGTAGGTATACCTTGTGCTATCTTAAATCACTCATTCTTGTGGCAGTGTTGACCTCCCAAGCTAAAACACAGTCAAAGAAACCCTGCAGCTGAGATATACTTGAGGTGCTGCAAATTAGTGCACTTTCTGTATGACCTTAAAGCTCTGCTTGGGACGGTGGAAGTTGTTTTTAAATGTGAGTCATTTCAGTACTTCTAAAAATCTTCTTAGCTAACACATTTGAGATTCATTTATTTGTGGGGTGGAGGGGAAACTCAAACCACATCCTGCTTAATGCCAGTTCTGAAAATACGTTTGCTTATTTAATTAAATTACTCTTTGTTGTTAGTTGTATAGTATCTCACTTGAACAGGTATGTTTTTCATGCCTAGAAGATCACGTCTGTAGCATTACTATGTAAAGCTGTCTAGGAGGACAGCATGAAAATCACAGGATAATTTTTATTTCCCAAATGACCCTTGATGTTATACCCTTGAGTTTCAAAATCTTACGGAGTGAATGCTAATCTTCTAGTGGAAGAAAATCTCCTCTAAAAACAGAGTAAGCGCTGGGTTGAAAGAGAGAGATTCATATGCTCTGCCTGGCTGTATTAACCACAGTAGATAAGACATCCTAGGAAAAAGTGTGTCTGAATAGCAAAACGTCCATAAGTATGCAAGTATTTCGTCATGACTAGAGAACCTTGCAGAAATGTAATGACTTTATAATTAAGAAAAGGTGGAATTAATGCAAGTTCCTGAAAAAGGAGACTCTTGTAAGACCAAATTTGTAATTTTCCTGTTTTTTTCATGTTTTAACAAATACAGCTACAGAGAATCATTGGGAAGGAAGATGATTTGAAGACAGCTGGAGACGAAACAGTATTTCGGGTATGAAATAGAGATACGTTTTTCTTTACAAAAGCATTGTCATATTTCCCATGAACTTTGTTATTTTTTTCAGAGTTTTTAGATAAGTATATAAGTATCAGTATTAGTGCTTTAATTAAATGAAAGCACATGATTTATCAACTACTTTCTAACAGGGAAAGAAAAATGTTTGTCATTTCTGAATCTCCTGATGAAATGTATGCAATTAATGTATTTTATTACGGAGTAGTCACTCCATTATTTAGTTTCTGTAAGCCTCTGTTCCAAAGTAACTCTCTTCTGTTTATGAAAAACTCAGAAAAAACTCTGTATGGCCATATGAGAAAAGAGGTCTTTCCAAATAGAAATTGATACCTTAAACTTACCTAAGTGCTGCTGTTGCAGTAATATCAGCTTATTCTGAGTTGGTTTGAAATGTAATTGCTGTCATTGAGGTGACAAAGGCAAGGATTACTTTAGTTAGGTCCACTTCCAGAAAGAAATGGCTTAGATGCAGATCAGAAGAAGAAACAATCTTAGAGTATGATCTTCCAACTGGGTTAGAAGTTTCACTGGATTGCAGACCATTAGCTAATGGCAAATACATCTCGTCGATGAAAGGAGAGGTAAATTCCTGCTCTCTTCTGGCTGTTTTCCCCTGAATCCTGCCAGTATCACCTACCTTCTTCTCCAAGTGGAGTCTTTGCTAGCTGCCATCACTTCTTCAGTCTCTAGTTAGCACAGAGACAAGATACTCTGTAGCCTGGATGAGATTGGATGAGAACTGAAAACAGAGAGGGGTAAGTCCTGAGCACACTGAAAACACCTCAGAAGACACTTATGAACTGTGGCAAAGGAGGGGGAGAGTACAGATGGATTATCTCCAGCTGTTACTATAAGGTGCTGCTTGCATCAGCAGCACTACTTTTGTTGCGTGCTTAAATTGGATAGTGTAGCTGAAGGATATTTTTCTCACCACAAACTTGCTTTCAGTTGTAAACTGAAAATGGGTGACTAGGCATGGGGCAGCGACTGCTCATGTTGGAAGCACTCAATAATAAATTGATATAGGGCTCAGCTTTATAAACCTGTCATGCATCAGCAGTTTCTAAAAGAGTTGATCCAGCTCGTGTTCTTTGCTTTTTCACCTGCCTGGGGAAAAAATGGAAGTGGCAGTATTGCTAACACTTTTAATATTTACTAGGCATAAACAAAAACTGTTTTCTGATGCATAAAGGTTTTGCTCCCTCAATATGCATCCAGAGTTCAGTTAAAAATCGTTTGACTAACTAACAACCATCTCCTTTCTGGAATCTTTTCATCAGGCACCAGATTAAAATAGCTAGGATTAATAGGGTTGTTTGCTCCTCAAAACCAATTTCAATTGAGACTTAACTGCCATGGCAGTGAAAGAAAAAGGATCTTTATTCTGCATGAATGCACAGTTATGGTATAAAATTTCCAGAGAAACTTTGATACAGTTGGACAGATTTAGTTAGAAACGCATAATCTTATTGGGAGCTAATTAAATACCTAAGCCTGAATGTCTCTATTTTGTTTTTTCTCTTGCTTCAAATTTTGTCTTCAGAACTCTCTGTTGAGAAAAATCTGAAGTTATTGTAACCAGAAAATACTATTTAATACGGTTTCTTAGCAGATTATAAATGGAATTATAGTCTGTTCAAAAGAAGAATTAAATAGCTTTGGGGAGTACAGCTATCTTGAAATTCTTCTGGTCTCTATATTTCTACTTGGCATAGTCCAAATTATTACTTTTCTTCCAATTTTTATTTTCTTTCCTGTCTCTGTCTCTCACAAAAGAAGTTCATTATCTTTATAAGCAGTGAATCTGACTATACACTGTAATCAGTGCATATGTATGGCAGTCATAGTATTACTTTCAGGCAAGGCAGATAAAGCATAAAAATACGGCTTTTAAATTGACTGTGTTCTTTGAAAACTGAGATGCTGCAACGGAAGTTTGGTGTTTGGGATAGTTCTTTATTTCCACAATGCTGTCACAATTTGCATATGAGTTTGCTGGTTTTTCAAAGTAATCCCGGTCTCTGATACCAGATGGAAAATGTCACTGACTTATGAAAATAAGGTATAAATGGTAGTATGCAACTTTATTTAACCACCAGGTATATCCAGGTATGTTCCCTGTCCAGTGTGTAGACAGAGGTCCCAGTCATTCATTTACTATATGAACATACCAGTTAATACTCATTGAGATACTGTATTAGGAAAAGAAAAAGCAGTTCGTTTGCTGTGCTCCCAGGGTGCTTGTATCTCTGGCTCTTTTACTGAGACTTTGACTTACACATCTGAAATTCAAAATTTCACCACTTAGTAATGGCCCTTGAATGGGATTGCAGTGGACTTTGTTATCCAGATAAATGTATTTCAGTTGAGAGATTTTCTTTTTCCAATATCATAATTGATGCTGGAAGAAAAGCCAAAAAATCTGCCCAGCCTTAACCAGCCCAGTCTTTGGGAATTTCCTTGGTGACTTTTGTAGAGCAAGCAGTCTGATTTACTCATAGCACAGGAATGCATGCACACACTGAAGGAGAGATGCAGGCAGACTTAGAAGACTGGCAACCTGGTTCTATCTATCTAGACTGGAGAAAATGGTACAGAAGTCAACAGAGGCAGTCACTATCTCACCTCACCCATCTACCCATAGGCCAAAGGAAATGGTGCACCTGGCTTCCTAGCACAACTGTTCTGCTTCACATGAGACATCCAGCTGAGCATTTGACCATGCTTCGCAGAAGAGGAGAGGCAGACTGCTTGTCTAGAAGTGGTGTAGAGTGTTATAGGAAAGTGCATGAGCTAGAAGAGTTTGGTGTATTTTGAAAAAGGTCTTGCCCAGTGAACAACACTAGTTGCTTTTGTATTAATGCCCTGAGTTCCTTAAAGGGATACTCTAATAGTGGTGCATGCATTAGCATTCTGGTAGTGAAAACAATGCTAATGGTTGCAGATACCTACTGTACAGCCCAGTCATCTAGATCAGGGACTTTGCTCTTGGGTCCTTCAATTTAGATTAATGAATTATCAAGTAGTTTCAGTACCTCTAATTTAATATGCTTTGTATAATGGTTAAACTTAGAAGTTAATTTTAGCTATCGTTAGGAAAGGAATGACAATACAGAATGTTCTGTATCTGTTCTTAAAATGGAATTCATGTTGGGAAATAATGTGCGTTGTCTTATTTCCAAATGATTAAACATATGCTTCTGGATTCCATAATGAACACATTTTCATACAAAGTATCTCATTTACATGGGGTTTTTTAAACATTTAACTAGTACATGGGGACACAGCTATTAATCTCTTTTAAACAGAAAACTTTTGAACTAAATTCAGTCTGACTATAAGCAGTATACTTTTAGACCCACACATGGATATTTTCCTATTGATTGTGTATCAGTTGTTTTAACATGTCTACTTTTCTTTCTTCATTATTCATTCACGCATTTATCACCACTTAGCTGGTCGGCACAAGGTTTTACATTTGGACCTTTAGACATTGCAGTATTGTGATGCATCTCCTCAGCCACAGAGACTGCGCGGGCCATTGTAACCTGCCTATCTGCTCCCTAGAATTTCGAACTAATTTAAAGGTTTTTTTATCCGTTGCTTCAAAGTCTGTAAAGCCCTGGGCCCAGAATAAGTAAAGACTGCCTAAACTGAAGGGAGGAAGATGGTGGTTGACAGCTGTGCTCTTCTAGTGCAGCAATACTCTGTAACAGAGTTGCAGCATATCTGTGCAGCACACTGAATTTTGCCAGAATCTGGTCCAAAACTAAAAATAATATCCCTCCCCAAAAGAGTGTGTCATTAATCTTGTCACCTCTCAGTTCATATGGAATGCACATTTTTTTTCTTAACCTGTCTTCTCCAACATAAATGTGTATGTTTTGTATCAGCAGATTGAGTTCTATTGAAAAGCTTTTAGATACTTTAAACCAAGGAGTATTGCAATGTTCCTGCATGCTTTAAAGGAAGCTCTCCAGGCAGGTAAACCCCATAAAGAACCAAGCCATGTGGCATCAAAATATTAAACTATTAACAAACTGCTGGGTCATTGTTTACCTCACAGACAAGGAAAATATTTTATTTTTTCCACTTGATCTGATGACATTATAACCTCAAGAGAGGCAAAGAAACATACTTTCAGACATCTTTTTAGGTACCTATTTTGCTAGTACATTGAATTTAGATAGCAAAAGTCTCTCCCCCGAGGAATTCATGTGGAAGCCTGTTGTGGTCACAGTAGCATTGCTTTCCATTGTGCAGATGTGTGAGGCAAGGCTACCCCTTTAGTCTCTGCTACTTAACCTAGTCTGAAGTGCTTTAAATTATATAGCTAGAGAAGCCAGATAGCAGTGTGGGCTCCTGACAGACCAGGGAAAACACGATTTGGCTTTGCACTAACAGCTCTAGTCCTCAGTTCAAAACAGTAAGAATCTGGTCATAATCTCTGAAGGCTACCTAGTGCATTTGCTTATAAAATTAATTGGAATAAACTGGAAATGGTGCACGTAAGCATGCTCACTTGGCATTTTGTGATAACTGAAACTTGGGATGGCAACCTGAACGTGGACTACCTGGGGACACGTTTGGACAGCGGGGTGGGGGAGTTGGACACAGTCCATCAGGAGTCAGTTTTAGCGCCGAGAGCAAGGAGGTTTACGCATGCTGAGAATGGGCGTGCTCTGCCTTTGAAGCCAAGTCCATGTTAATCAAAAGAGCATGCTTCACTGAACGTCATACCTCCTGAGGGTGGGTCCTCATTACAGATTCTCTACTTTTTACGGAAATTAATATTTTTAAAGTATGGCATGACAGGGAGGCAGGGCCTGAATTCTTGTGAGGGACTGTCCCCAGCTGTGTATAGAAGCTGCTTTTCCCAGCTGCCAGCACAGCACCAGTCAGGCAGCCTCAGGCTTTGCAGTGCAACAGTTCCATTCCCTGACTGCTTGACGCAGCAGGATTTGGTCCCTCTCAACCTGCTGGCAGCAAGACTAGTTTCAACCTGTTCCTATTTTTTTCATAAAGTATCTCCTACAATGTCTGCTCCTAGGTTAGTTTTAGCCCACTTGGCTGGAAACCGTTTTTATTCTGTACCTCTTCGTGAACTGATGCAGAACTGTGGGTGACGCACTGAAAGCTGAGGACGTCCATGAAGTTACATCTTCTTCCTTGCTAAAGCCACTAATGGTACAGCATAGCAATTCCATGGCATCAGTTGTCATTAAAAAACAACTAATCCCCAGGTAATGGGAATGCTGGATGTTGTTGAATGCTGCATATAAGCTGTTTATTGCTTAGAAAACGGTCTGTCGGATTTCTTCTCAGATACTGTCTGTTATACCCTCTGTAGAAAAAAAATGTGCACAGTTTACCCTGTCTGTATCAGATCCAATGTATTCTTGAATCCTACCTCGTAGCCTTGCAAAACATTTAAAATTTCAGTATTGATTTACATGATTAAATCTGATTCATCATAAAATGCTATATTGTTCATTCTGGCATCCACTTGAGGCTGTCTGGGCTTTGCCAAAAAAGACTGCTTTTGGAGATCTGGATCTCCTGGTCTCACTAGCTTGCCTGTTCACAGTTCTTTTGACTAGCTGTACCTGGCAGGATTAATTTCATAATGGATATATCTTTTAAACCTTCTTCGCAGAACTGAGTTGTAGGTCAAGGTCAGGTTGGACAGGGCTCTGAGCAACCTGATCTAGCTGAAGATGTCAACTTCAAGCTTGAGAAGGGGGTCCGAGTGAACCTCATGAGGTTTCACAAGGCCAAGTGCAAGGTCCTGCACCTGGGTTGGGGCAACCCCCAGTATCAATACAGGCTGGGGGATGAAGGGATTGAGAGCAGCCCTGCCGAGAAGGACTTGGGGGTACGGGTGGATGAAAAGCTGCACATGAGCCAGCAATGTGCGCTCGCAGCCCAGAAGGCCAATTGTATCCTGGGCTGCATCAGAAGAAGCGTGGCCAGCAGGTCGAGGGAGGGGATTCTGCCCCTCTCCTCTGCTCTGGTGAGACCCCACCTGGAGTACTGCGTCCAGCTCTGGAGCCCTCAGCATAAGAAAGACACGGACCTGTTGGAGCGGGTCCAGAGGAGGGCCACCAAAATGATCAGGGGGATGAAACCCCTCTCCTGTGAAGAAAGGCTGAGAGAGTTGGGGTTGTTCAGCCTGGAGAAGAGAAGGCTTTGGGGAGACCTTATTGCAGCCTATCAGTACTTAAAGGGGGCTTATGAAAAAGATGGCGGCAGACTTTTTGGCAGGGCCTGTTGTGACAGGACAAGGGGGAATGGCTTTAAACTAAAGGGGGTTAGATTTAGACTAGATAGAAGGAAGAAATTTTTTATCCTGAGGGTGGTGAAACACTGGCACAGGTTGCCCAGAGAGGTGGTGGATGCCCCATCCCTGGCAACATTCAAGGTCAGGTTGGACGGGGCTCTGAGCAACCTGATCTAGCTGAAGATGTCCCTGCCCACGGCAGGGGGGTTGGATTAGATGACCTTTAAAGGTCCCTTCCAACCCAAACTATTCTATGATTCTATGATTCTATATGTCCCAACATCTTGGAGACTCTCAAAATGACAGAAAGGTTGACTCTCTTGAGCTGCGTTTGAGGCTAGGCTGCTTAGATTGAAGTCTACATTGCCTCCAGGGATAGGAGCCTGGCATGATGAATTGACTGACCTAGTAGCTGAAAAACAAAGAGCATTTCAGAGAAGTGGACTCAAAAATTTGCAAAGATTTAGTGTTACCTTTGGAAAGACTTGGGACATCGCTAGCAGGCAGAAACTAAGATAACTGTTCTCTTTGACCCTCCTCTCTTTTCTGCCCCTCTTCTTCATCTATTCACTCTCCTTGTGTCTTAACCAAAAAAAATTTCAATCCAAAATATATATTGTTTCGATAGAAATTGTAAAAATAAGACATTGCACAGCAAATACCATCTCCCAGGAAGCAAGTAAGAGAACAAGGAACGTATTACAGATTTTAATCATGATGAATGCTTTCCAGTCATGCCTCAGGCAAATTCTGCAATGAAAGGTGGTAAGAATCTAGAGACAGTAAGTCTATGAACGTTTCAGATGAGTTTTGAAAATCAGTTAGGTACATTATTCCGAAAATCCTGTCTCACTGTGTGATAAGTTTCTTCTCAGTGGCACTTGTTGCTACTTGCTGCAGTATCAGGTCCTAAATGTCAAAAGCTCAGTGGGGAGCTACAGGATTAGGTAGGTCTGTGCCCATGACTCGGTGTTTGCAGCATCAGGCTTCTATGTTAACAGTCTGTGTAACGTGATAAGGAAATAAATGTTGTGTTATCTGATCTTGCTTAAAAAGGAATAATTGCATAATTCAGCAGTTCATGGTGCTTTTGAAAAGTGTACGAGGTGTTAACGTTACTCTAGGAACATAAGCTTATGTTTGTAGTATGTACACACATCTTCATTAGTTCATATACACTTGTGTGGCATCAGAGCTTGGTCTTTGGGATTCTTTGTGTGAACCAGTGGTCCCAGGAACATGTCTGAGCTCCCCAGCTGAGATACATATCCCTGCCCCGTCCCGTGCCTGTATCAAGATAAGACTTGGAACATCACCATCCCTTCTCCCCTCTGTGCCTCAGCTTTCTGTAAAGCACACAGCCCAAAAGGGTGCTGTGCTGCACCCTCCCCAAGCTGAAGCCACCAGATACACCAGAATACAAACTTTCACTCAATTTAGATAGTAGCTCTGTGACTCAAAGCTACCAGTCTAGTCCTTTGTACTGCTCCAGGATTAGGTTACCATTTCATTCTCATTGCCAAGAGAGACATTCCAAATGTAAGTTATTCTTTTACCTAAGCTCAGGAGGGTGAGGTGTTGGAAATATTAATAGAGCTCTTATTATCTTCTAACAAAGATTTGTCATGTCGCTACTAATTTATACAGTTCAGCAGCAAAAGCTCCTAATGATTCTGTGGACAAAAAGGAATTATGTACTAACATGTACTTTCATTTAATAGCATTAACTCTAGGAAAAGCAATTTTTTGAAATTTTACCCTTAAGCTGTAGTCTCTGTGGTCTGCTATTGCATATTCTGTTTTTAAAAAATCTACTGTTTTGTAGTTTTAAAATACATTTAACTCTCACTAACATAGTGTTTGGACATCTGCCAATTCCACTTTGGAATTTCAACTGATAAAGAGGGTAGCCAACAAGTAGGTGCATATTTGTTATAAATCCAGGGATAGGCTTTGTCATCTTAGATAAGATGAGATAGGTATTGTTTGTATGTCGTCTTCTAGCTTATAACTAGAGAAACATGAATAGAAGAAAAAAAACTTCTTCTGTCGCAGACTTAGTTTTTAAAAGGTTATTTTAAACCTCATTTTTCAGTTTGTTCTCAATACAACACTGATTTTAATATGGAGTAATTAAACTTGAAGCCTTAAATTGCATAATCGAGTTCAGTTTTAAAAATTACATAAGCAAATTTATTTCTTGCATTTCTCAAGTCTCTTTTAAACATGTAAGCAAAACCACAAAAAGCAGATTAGAATCTCACTGCAGTGGGAAATATGTGGACTCTTTTCTGTTTCTTCTTAGAAAACTTTGCATTCTGACACAAACAGTTTGGGTTTGAATTTCAAATAAGCATACATGAATGTTTGACTTTTGACTTTCAAAAAAGCATGTACCAGTGTTTATGCATCGGTCTTCACAGTAATCTGAAGTGTTTAAACTTTAGAAGGATGGATCTTGTCAGTATTTAAATATTCTTTGCCTGCAGTTAAATGATAAAGTTCAATAAGTACAGTTTGCATATGGCTTGAAAAGTTTTTTTTCCTAGGTTCACTCATACATAACTCGTATCACTGGCATTTAGTGAATTGTAGCTTGCAGTAGAAGTGAGGAATGTTACCTCTTTTAACTATAAAATAACTGTGTCACATATGCAGTAAGCATGAAACACACAGTGGACTAATGGGACTTGTTATTGATGATGCTGAAAGCTAAATAACCATTAGTATTAAATCTTATGAATAGACTCTTGTCTTTCATCTTACCTCTTCAACCAGATAAAAGACACAGAAGCTATTTAGATGTCATAAGAATAGTTTGTTGAAATCCCTCCAGACTTACCAAAAAAAAACCCTCTCTTCATGTTGCTTAGTGTTTTGTTGCGTTCAAAGAAATGCCAGTATGCTAGTGCTGAAAGAAGAATAGAACCGAAATCCAGCATTATGTGTGGTTTTAGGCTTGTTAAAGATGCTGTTGAGTTGAAATAATGTGCGTCCTTTTTCTGCAGAAATCTCTTAATCAGATTTAAAAAATATATAGAAAAGTCACTAACATTGAAAATTTGCAAGAAGCCTTGTAAGACCATATTATAATAGAGCACTTTGAATGTTTGTATTTTTCTAGTTTCATTTCTTAGACTATCATGAATGTTTTTAAGTAGCTGTATCAAATTAGAAATATCTGACTAAAAACTTTTTTATGAAGATGTTAACTTTATTTAAAGCCTCTATTCACCTAAGCATAAAGGTTTTTAAAGACTTAACTAGCAACCTTCTCAGTTCTAATAATAAAACACACTGAAGGTGGTTGTAAATTGTACTCATCTTTCATACAGAATATTTGGAAGCAGAACATATAATACAGTGTTACCAATTGATGTGAAGGAATTATTCAGCTCTGAGATCCTGTGTGATAGCTTTGGGAACAGTAATTAAATTGGAAGTATCTCTTGTGAAATTCTAGTTAAAATAAATATTTCCAGATTTGTGGTGAACAGATATTAATAATCATACAATGCATAATAATTAATCATACAGTTTTTTGTTTTATAGGGAGCAGAACAGGAAAGCTCTGGTGTTAATACTATGTTGCTGATACATTTCTTTGGAAAAGAAGGAAAGGAAAAACTTCGCTACTCTGAGTTTTTCAGGTATTTTTTGCAGTTAGGCAAGCCTAACAGCAACCAGTCCTGTTCCTACCCCCTCTACTTTGCACCAACACTGGCATTAATCTGACCTCACACTGAGCTGATTCAGAAATTTAAGCAGGTAATCAAGCAGGAGATTATTCATGATTTTGCATGTTTAAATTTCTAGTTTAGCTCCTTGGGTCTGCTGTTTGCAGGAGGAGTTGAGCACCATGATAACTCCAAAGCAGCAGTGGGCCTGGAGGCCGTCAGGGTTGAGACTACCATTCTTGTTGTGTGTGCGATAGCATACCTTTAGACAATATGATTCATGAGTATCTTTCTTTTTCTTGATCAAATCACCAAAAAAGTGACTGCTAATGAATTAAAAAAGCTTTTCTGAGCCGAGACACCCCCCTCCCCATTACAACTGTCATGGTAGGCTACAGGCAACTTCTCTGCTTGCTTCAAATTCCAGCTTCTGTTGAAAATTTACCTGTGCCTTTCCCTTTGAACTACTTTTGCAATGGGACTACACAGATATTTCATGGCACTTATGTCAGAACTGAGAATTAAGTCATAGCAAACACCACATCAGACTGAAACTGCAGTGAAATACCAAGTGGCCATTACTCCTGGAAAGGTAGCATTGTATACTCGTCTATTTCACTGTAAGCTTTGCAAAATCAGAAGTTAATAGAAAGTTTTAAGACTGGTGT